AGGCTGGAGCCGAACAGAGCAGGCAAGAACAACTGTGCAGAGAGAGACTAAGGCAGAAGTTTATTTTCCATAGTGAAGGAAATGGCCTGCAAACAAGGAGGGAAACCAGCCACGTGCCACTCCTCCCCCGTGGGGGACTCTAGTTTAGTATGGGCAAATCTCAATACTCATACCAATGGCTACGCAGCGAGCTGTAGCCCTGACGATGAGGGGTAACAGCAATAATGAGATGAGTTGGATTCATAGTAGAGCTTCATGACCAGAGCTTGTCTGGTGCTTGTTCAAGCTCAGACAAGACCTGGTACTGACCAAAGCAACACAATAATTATATGCAACAATTCTGGGATTTTGTTGTGGCCAAGATCATCCGGAGGGTGAGCGCAAAGGATTGTTGTTATGCCAAACTTAGGGCACAGCTTGCTTGCTGGGCATTAGCTCTGGGAAAACAAGGTGTCTCCTAATAGTGTCTTGACATCCTCAAAGTGCAGATTGGAACTCACTCACCTCTTCTCAGCTTAAGAGACTCTTGGATTCACTCAGTATGCTGTGAGCCTTCCTTTAGGTCTCCTGACATTATGGGAGTATGAGTACAGGATGTAGGCTGTCCACCTGTTCTCCATTGCTCTTGTTACTTGCCTGGCCCAGCTCCTTTCCCAATGATATATTTCTTTGGTGATAACTTTTATGCCATTTTTTTGGTATGCATTCATTGTTGGTAATATAATACCGCCTTTTTATGCCCCACCATGTGTCTCTGCGTTGCTCTTTGGGTGACTTTCAATTTTCTTCCCTCACACATTGTGATGTTCTATGATTCACAGCTAAATGACATTGCTATTAGAATATCAGTGCTAAAACAATAGAATTTTGTTTCTGGAAGAAGCTTGAGGGCTTTGAAGGCATCACACAGTTTCCTAAATATAACATCCTTTTCCACTCTGGATCCAGTTCATTGTCAGTCTGTGGTGTCTGTCCAACACATGTCCTGATGGACCAGCTCAAAGAGCTGCCTATACAACTGCGTGTCTGGGCAGTAAGCACTAATCTTCTTGGGTTTTTTCTTGGATGGTTGGGTTGAACTCTTTCCAGTGACCAGGAATCCCATTTAGGAAGCTGTGCAATGTTCCAGGGCTTGATGTAGTGACTGGCATTGGGAGTCTTCACCAACCAAAAAGAATTCCTCTTCCATTTGTACTCTGTCCTGTCCTGGACTTCCTTTATGACAGTGAAAAACACCTTTGGCAAGCACACGTCCCCCTGTTTTATTCCTTTTTTTGTATTAATAATTCCCATTGAAATAGTGTCCTAAATTTAAGTAGTAATTAGGTTCTGAAGATGGCCCATAAAAGCAATGCGTAAGGTTTCTGAACCATAGCTATTATGATCCTAGTAATTTTTTGGTATTAATGGTATTATTAGTAGGGTCATGGGATCACAGACAGAACTGGAAGGATCCTTAGAGATCACCTAGAGTAGAGGTGTCAAACTCATGAACTGGCAGAGTTTGCCAAATTCACGTGGCCACACCAGACTAAAACGTAATTGGGAAATGTTTAACAAAATAAATGAAAATACAATACAATCTAGGTAATGTTCATTTGTGGCTTTCTATATCAATATGCAGCCAGAAGGAATCATTTCTACATGACTTTGACACCTTTTCTCTAGAGCAGCGGTTCTCAAACTTTTGTTAGTTTTAGGACCCATTTGCCTTCTTAAAAATGATTGAAGATTCTTAAAAGAGCTTTTGCTTATATTGGTTATATGTCTAATGGTATTTACCAGGTTCAAAATTAGAATATAACCTTTTGAAAATAGTTTTCACTTCACTGACTCCCTGAAAAGAAATTAGGAACCTTCAGGGATCCTCAGACAACGCTTTGAGAATTATTGAGATAGTCAACCACTTCCTTTTGCAAATGAGCAAACCGAGAGGCTTAGAGGTGATTTGGCTTGCCCAAACCCACACCCCAAATAAATAGAGCTGGGATTAGACTTGGAGTCTTCTACCTTCAAATACCAAGCTACACATCTATTAGTATGAGTGTGCCTCATCCACTTTTCATTAATACCTTATAACCAAACTTTCTCCTTATGGTTGGGATATCTCATTGTAATGCTGCATTTATTTTTGTTTCCAAAGACCAGCACTGCTTTCCCCTACAATTTATTCTACTCCCTTCAGTCCCTCTCTCTACTTCCTTCCCCTATGCCTAAGGCTGCCTCAGTTACTCTTTCTTCTGTCCTAGTATCCATATCCCTTCAGCCAACTCTTTCATAAGAGTATTCAATTCTATCTTTGAAAGTGAAAGGCTAACAAATATTAAACATAAATAATTATCTAGGTCAATAATGAGCAGAGAAGGAACTATCATTTTATATATCTCAGCTCCAGGTGAATGCCATTTCTTGTCCTCATCCCCTCAAAATAGTTCAGGCTCAATCCTCACAAAATGCTCATTACACAAATAGGGAAAGAGCCGGAGTACTCTGCCAGTATGGAATATACTGTGATGAGTACAGTTTCTCCATCCCTGTATGCTGCCTTCCTCCTTCCTTCTAGGATCAAGCCCCACTCCTATCATTTGGAATAGCCTTCATCTCATCTGTGGTCTTATAGTTTTAATGCTCAACCCTTTAAGGGGACTCCAATCACAAACTATAGCATTGATATGCCTCTTTTGATTCACTTCTTATGGGGAAGTCATTCTCCTAGAAGCTTTTTTATTGCTCTTTCCCAGAAATCCCTGCCCAGGCTATCTGAATATATGCCCTGAATACTTAGCCTTTTAGAAAATCAAATTCCTTTCTTATCAGTGCGTGTGCTTTCCTGCCTGCCTTGCCCAACTCTCCCAAAAGGAAGAGAAAAAAAAAGAAAAAGTGGCAAGGCTGCCTCTGATTCTCACATTTGCTATAAAAAGATGAAACAAAACAACCTCTATCCTCAGGGGTCCTTACAGATGAAATAAAGTCTAGAGGGGAAGAGGTTAAAAATATGACCACAGAAGAGGGAAGGTGATCAAGGAAGGCTTTGCAGTAAAGACGAATTTTAAGCCAAGTCTTGAAGAATTCAGTGAGCATGAATGGAATAATGGGGAGAAATAAGGAGGGCTTTAAATAGGGACTGATGGAGGGAAAGACAAAGAAATGGGATCTGGTGAGAACAGATCATTTTGTTTTATTATTTTTAATAGAGTCACTAGGCTACTAAATTAGGAGCATGCTGCAGGTGTAGTTTGGGTAGATATTAGTAAAATATTTTACCAAGCCTCTCGTGCTATTCTTACAGAAAAGATGGAGAGGTATAAAATAGATGATCATATAATTAAGTGAATTTAGAATTGGTCAAATAACCATGACCAAAGAATAGTTACTAGTGGTTTTATGTCTACCTGGAAGCAAGTCTCAAGCTGAACATCCTGTGGATCTGTGATTGTTCCAATGGTGATTAAAAATTTTATCAGTGACTTGGATGAATAAATAGATAACATACTTGCCAAAACTGCATATGACACAAAATTAGAAGGGATAGCTAATTCAATGAAAATCCAAAAGGATCTTTAGTAGCTGAAATGTGGGACTAATTCTAATAAGGTAAAATTGAACAGAGATAATTATACAAGTTTAAAAGAAATCAATTTCACAAGTACAAGATAGGAGAGATATGACTAGATAACAGGCTATCAGAAAAATCTGGGGTGTTTTAGTAGACGATGTACTCCATAGGAACCAGTAGTGTGACAGGGCAGCCGAAAAAGCTTAGGCTTCATTAATACAGGTATACCGTCCAAGACTGGGAAGCTATAGTGTGCTGTAGTCACACTATCTCTGGGTAGTATCCCTATCTTCTAAAACTGTCTTTAGTTGGAACTAAACTTTAGTTCCAACTAAAGACTAGAGGCTCCACATTTTAGGAAGGATATTAATAAATAGGATCCAGAGGAGGATAATTAGGTTGGTGAAGGGTCTTGAGTTCATGCCACATGTGGATTAGTTGAAAAACTGGGAATATTTCAGGTAAAGAGAAAACTTAAGGGAAACATGATAGCTGTCTTCAGGAATTTGAAAAGCTGTCATGCTTAGCATGTCAGCTTAGAAAGGTTAGAACATTGATGCTGCAATTAGATTTTTTTAAAAAGATGAGGCTACCGTGGAAGATGGTAAGCTTAACATTTTTGGGGGGGTGGGGGATAGTCTAGGCAATTGGATTAAGTGATTTGCCCAGGATCACACAGCTAGCAAGTGTCAAGTATCTATGGCTGGATTTGAACTCAGGTTCTCCTGACTCCAGGGCCAGTGCTCTGTCCACTATGCCACCTAGCTACCCCAATGAGTTTAACTTTCACCAGAGTTTTTCAAGGGAAACATTCTCTCCAGAGCTCAGAATAGAAGCAATAAGTAGAAATTGCAAAGAGGCAAATTCAGAGTTGATACAAGGTAGGGAAAATTACGTAATGGGCAGTCTGGCATGTGCAGAGACTCCATCAGATGATGCATCCTTTTCTTGTGGACAAGGCTAAAGAGATTGTTTCCCATGGAATCATGATGAAGGATAAGGCAGATGCTTTGGAGAGACTGGAGCACACATGGACATTCTGTGCCTGGTTCTGGCTGGCTAAAAATGGATAAGAATTCATTATTTGGTAAAAAAAATGGGTTGGGAAAACTGGAAAGCAGCATGGCAGAAATTAGGCATAAACCAATATCTTACACCAATTGCCAAGATAAGATCAAAAATGGATACATGACCTAGATATAAAGACAGATGTTACAAAAGAGAAGTCTTTCCAATTGATTGGCATTTGATTGGCATTCCACTCAAAACTTCAGCCCCTTCCTGATTTGGCCTCCTTTTGCTTCATTTAGGGACTCCCCTTACAGTGTTCAGTGATACATTAAGGTTTTTGCTTCAGGGACTTCTTCACTCTGAGGTCATGGAGCCCCAAGAAATAGACCTCAGGCTTTTGCATTTTTTGTTTATTTATTCTTTTCCATTCTAGGTTAAAGGAGTAGGATCTCCAACCTTGGGAAAGGTCGGGAGAGGAAGCCACAGAAATCCAGGAATCAGAATACAGGCTATGCAGTCAGCACGTTGATATTCACAAGGACAAAGGACTCTGATTTGGGAGTGATCTTCTAGAACTATGCCACTTAAAAACTGAAGTGAGAACTCATTCAGCAAGAGATGCTGCCTTTGTACTCGAGCTTGGTGGGACTTTGAAGGGACTGAGCTAAGCTTGGAGCCTACTTCTTTAGAGACAAAGATGGTATAGGGGAGAGTATGCCCCCCTGAAGCATTAAGGGAAATATTTGTAATTCGTTATTGATGTAACTTTGAAGTGAATATCTCTTTGTAAAAGCTAGTCATTGTTAAAAGGTTAAGTGGAACTGGGTGCTCGTTATAGGCCCCTAACAATGAGGGATGGGGAGGGAAGGGAAATACTAGCTGACTTACTCTAGGTGAGGGAAAAGATGGTCCAAAACCCTCTGGGTACCCTGAAATCCTGAGTAGAAGATGCAGCCAGCCTAGCTCTAAGAAAGAAAGGTCAGAACATTGATGTTGTAAACAGATCTTAATTTTAAAAGGGGAGGGGTTGCTGGATTGCCTTGGAAGGCGCTTTCACTGGAGGTTTTCAAATGAAACACCCACTCCCTGCTAAGCAGGTGAGCAATTTTCCCTGAAGGACAGCCAACCCTGTGACTCCAGAGTGACTTCTGAGTCACTTGATTGACTTCTGACAGATCTTTGAGCTGATGCTGATTTGCACCTCTGTAAGAGGGCAGAGACTTTAGAGAGACTGGTGGGGGACATTTTGTGAAAGGAGTTTGGGAGAAACAGTTGAGAGAGAAAAGTTCAAACTTTTAAATGGAAACTAGTGATCTCCATGGAGCCACAGATATATTCCCTGATTCTCAGCATCTGCAACCTTAGAGATGACTAAGAGTAGACTCTTTACTTCCCTTGCCCTCAATGTAGGTGAGCTAGGTTTGTGTGTGTGTGTGTGTGTGTGTGTGTGTGTGTGTGTGTGTGTGTATGTGTGTGAGCTAAGGTTTTATCTTGCTCCCAAGTTAAATAGTATGTTTACCCTACTGTATTCTATTGTCTATATAATTTTCTGGATTTCTCTTTACTTTGATAGAGGCTTACTAGCTATTCATGATGGTCTTTGGTTTATCCAGCCAGCATTTGACAGAAAAGGAGCTAAATTGGTAAGAGTAATGTCAGCCTTCCCTTAAGACTAATCAGGGAAAGTGGTGTTTATTCTGAACTTTACCTCCACTGTATCCTTACACTAGAGATATTTGATGCATGTTAGATAGATATAATTCTAGCCTGAACACTCTATTGAAGATAAGATAGTAAAGGAAAGATGAACCAGTCATAGATGTCCTGAATCCTGCCTCCTTCCCCACTAGGCTTCTGGTGGTACCCTCCTACTCTCAACAAAGGAAGTAATTGTAGTTCCCTTTGGCAGGGTTTGGAGGTGGGGGGGTAATGGGAAAGAACAGATCCATGTTCAGATATCTATCTATCAATGCTGCAGGTGGACAAGCCATATTTAAATTAGGTAGTTACCAATAATATACATTCACAACAAGCAAACGTTAGATAACCCCAAAAAGTCAGCTATAGTTTGGACCCGATGACCTCCAAGGTCCCTTCTGATTCTGAGATTCTGTTAGATTCTAAGCTCCTCAAGGACAGGGATGATCTTTTGCACAGTGCCTGACACATAGTCAGTGCTTAATAAATATTGGTGCATTGATTGATTGTTCATCTTTGAAGGCTTGCATAGGAGAATAGCACACAAATTGGTTTGAGCAGCTTGCAAAGAAAATATCAATAATTAACAAAAAATGAGAACAGAGAGGCATAGGGATTAGGGAGGAAGAGACCATTTGATGAGAAGCCTTGAATATAGATGAAAGAGTTAGGTTTGATTTGGTAGCGTCTTGATCAAGGGTAGTAACATGATAAAATCAGTGTTAGAATTAGATTCTATTGGAAAGTGTGTGAGTTGGGTGTCAGGAAAGACCAGAGGGAAAATCCTCATCAGACAAGCTATGAGAGTAACCCTGAAGGAAGCAGATGAGGTTTGAGCTAGGTGGTGGCTATGGAAGTGGAAGAAACCACAGAAATTACAGACAATGTGAAAAGATTAGGTAGGACTTCGGATATCTGGATCATCTCCTGACTTTAAAATGCAGAACCTTAGAGAAGCTGATTCATAAAAACCATTGAGAAGGCCAAAATGAACCAAACCTGAGGTCCATCCAGTCACTCTGTGACAAATAGTAGTTCTCGAGACCACGTTCCCAAGGAATGCGGCTTTCCTCTTTGAGTTTCCCTTAGAGGCTTGATAAGGGGTTGGAAGAAATGGGCTAGACAGGTCTTTGGGGCCTATGCTCAACATTAGTTCTGGATATCTGGGGGTTCAGAGGTTGAAAATGAAGCTAAAGGTAGGTGCCATATAGTGATGACAATAGCCAGGTGGAGATGAGGGCCAGAGTGTTTGGCAACAGGTCCCCTGTTTGTGTAGCTTCCTCCCAGGGAAGAAATGTCAAGAACTCCAGGGACTGAAGCTGCTTCCTCTGTTTCTAAATTGTTTGACATGTTGCTCCCCACTGAGTTCTCCACTTCCTGCACCTTGTCCCCAATCAACCTCTTATGGAAAGCCAAAAGTACTCTTTCCAGTTCCTACCTTCACTCAGTGCTAAAAGATGTGAGATCCATTAAAAACAACAAAAACAACAAACAAACATTTAAAAGGTTACAAAGTACAAATTAGGAGGTGATTATTAAGATGAGCTAGGATTCTAATTAGGTGGATTTAGAAGGTGATTATTTGCTTTACAAAAGGGTTCTTCCTTTGGGATCCTATTAAAAAGCTTTCCTACCGAATTTTGAATGGCTCAAGCTACAAACCTTTCATTCTTACTCAACTTTTCAGAAACATTTTTTGCATTAAGTAAGACCAGTAGAATAATTTCACATCTCTTAAATTACCCAGTAAATGTTCAGCCTTTTCACAGTGTGCTCCTTCTACCTGATTAGACTGAAAGCTCTTTGAGGACAAGGATCAAAGATTCTTTGGTGATTCCACTCCCTCAGTGTCACCACACACACACACACACACACACACACACACACACACACACCCCAAATCTATGTTCCAGGGGTGAGGAACTTACAGCCTTGAGGCCACAGAACAAATTTGTTCTGTGAAGTGTGGATTCAGTCAAAGCGCTGAACTTAAAGAGCTTAGAGGGCCACATGTGGCTTTGAGGCTGCAGGTTCCCCACCCCTGTTAACTAGACACAGTTTTCATTCAATTAATTCTCTACCCACATGATCAAGTTCTTATTCTGCAGAAAGTTAGACATTTAGAAGTAGGGCTAATTTCTGGTGAACTTAGGAGACCTTAAATGGCCAGGTATCAGTGTTTTAAAAATAGTATAGCAAGATCTTTTTCCATCGAGATTCTGAGCAGACAATATTGAATTTACCATGTATCAGAGATCACAGAGGTGCAATATGAAACCCAGATGACAGTATGAGATGTATTTTGTGTGTATTCTCTAAATTCCACTGAATCAATCAATATCCCTCTGACGGGGCTAATATGGAGTCGAGTAGCAGTAACCCATGGACCTATAATAGAAGGCACTGATGTGATATAGTAACAGCTCCTGTGGAAGCATTACCATCTATCCTGACTGTGATCTATGGATGTTGGGCTCCCAGAAAACACATTGACACGATAGACTGTAATGGCTCAGAAGAGGCCTTTATGTGATATTGTGTCAGCCATCCGCAGACAATGTCTCACTGGGAGGTTTCTCAATTGCCTTTCCAGAGGCATTTGCTCATGCTTCCAGGGTATGTCCAGGTGCTTCCTAGTACTTAGGAGCTCAGGGTTGCCTGACTCTCTTCTAAGCCCCATTGAAGCATGCCTAGCACCATCTCTCAGGCTTCCATCATCAACACAGGTCACACTTGCTTCCCTGGGCCAGGGCAGATCAAATGATTCAATCGTGGTTTTGACGAAAAGGAGTCTTTTTCCAGCATCCAAATGTGTGGGTGGATATACACCTTTCTTTGAAGATAAATTGAGCTCAAATACCAAATGCTGGGCTCTGTTGGTACTAAGGTCCTGTTCTACTGTTTTTAGAGGAGGTTTGTTCTTCAGTCACCCCTGACGAAAACTTATGTCTAGTACCAAGCTTTCTGCTATGGGAAAAATATAATCAAGGAACTTAACAATACAATAACACTAATAGCTAGCATTTACATGGCACTTTAAGGTTTGCAAAACACTTTACACGTATTATATCATTTGATCCTCATAATCCTGTGAGGCAGATGCTATTTTTATCCCCAGTTTACAGTTAAGGAAACTGAGGCTGGCTTGCCAGCTTTAACACAGCTAGTAAGTGCCTTGAGGCTTGCAAACCAGCTATGGACTCAAGACAAAATAAAAAAAAAACTTAACAATATAAGGCAGGATTTAATTAGCTACATAATTGTTCAGTATAGGGAGTACCTATTTGTTCCCTTCCATTTCACCAGCTTCCAAATAAACACCTCTGCTTTGCTTCCCTTTATTTGATGGTTGCTTTTCAATAGTTTTCAATGCTGGCTCTGGACAGAATTCTGCTGATTGATATTAATGAAAAGTCCCAAGTGTACAATCAGTTCAGTTCAGTTCAGTTAGATTCAATTCAATTCAATAGATAATTATTGTGTACAAGGCATGGAGTTTGGTACATAAGGGAGGTAAAGTCCTTGCTCTCAAGTGTCTGTGTAACTGTAGTATCTCCTCTAAGTGGTGACTGGAATCACCAATCAATCAACAAAATCTATGAAACTTTTATAGAACATAAGCTATCTGAAGAAAGATTATTTTTAACTTTGTTTTTACACCCCCAGTACCTAGCACAGTGCCTTGAAAATAGAAGGGGCTGGGGCAGTTAGATGGCGAGGTGGATAGAACACCAGCCCTGGAGTCCGGAGGACTTGAGTTCAAATCTGGTCTTAGACCAGATACTTGACACTTACTAGCTGGGTGACCCTGGGCAAGTCACTTAACCCCAATTGCCTTGCAAAAAAAAAAAAAAGAAAGAAAGAAAGGAAAAGAAAATAGAAGGTGCTTACTAAACCCTACACAGGATCACAAAATCAGAACTGGAAAAGACTTTAGAGACCTGGCCAACCATCTGATTTTACAGATGAGGAAAGTGAAGCTCAGAGAAGTGAAGTGACTTGCTAGGGTCATACAGGATATAAATGTTCCAGGCAGGATTCAAACCCAGGTCTTCAAGGCTCCAAGTCATGAGTTCCACTCATTAGACCATGCTATTACACACTTGCTGAATGTGAAACAACCCCTTCCTTCAAGTTGCTTACAAATAGTCCCCCATTATTGAGCCCACCCCTTTTATTTTATGTTGGGGTGAGAAAGGAGATTGTAATCAAAGGGAACAAACAAAAGAGGGTGAGCAAGGGGACTGAATTCACAAGAAGGCTCATTACTGAAGGCCTTTTGATCTTCAATGCATGTTTTTGAAAAGAACAAATCAACTTTGAGTGGAGCTCTAAAGTCAGTGTGATGATTTTGGTACCTCTGTTTAGCAAAAGAGAAATTTATATAGAGAAAAGAAAAAGTTCAAACTTCCAAAGAAACCCAGAAATATCCCCAAAGACCTCTTCAAACTTCAAAAAGGAAGAAATACATTAGCTTTTTTCTTTTCTTTTTTTTTTTTTGTTCTAGGCAATGGGGTTAAGTGACTTGCCCAGGGTCACACGGCTAGTAAGTATTACGTGTCTGAGGCCGGATTTGAACTAAGGTCCTCCTGAATCCAAGGCCGGTGTGCTATCCACTGCACCATCTAGCTGCCCCCTACATTAGCTTTAATTAAATGTTTAATGCTTATCACAGTTAATACATTTATTAAAATCAAATATATGATGCCATACAGTTGTATTTTAGGCATTGTGTCCACATTAGGGCTTCCTGCATAGTCAACATATGCAGTATATTTATGCTAATTTTATAGGACATATTGAATTTCTACTATGTGCATAACATTTTGCTGTTTTGACTGATTATTGAGGATCATAGTGGTTTGGGTTTCGAAAAACCTTGTTGGTAATATCTATGATGTATATTATGCCGACTCCCTAGAGAGAAACACAAGTCCTACTTATGCCTTTGTCCCCATGGGCAAACATGATTTGCTTTATTTACAAAGACATGACTTAGGATCTGATTTCCAGGGTCCCACTTGGATGAAAAGCAGGGACATACTATGCAGATTTTAATTGTTCTAGAGTTCAGAGGAGAGGCAGATCAATGAGGGCTGGACTCAAGGAAGGCCTCTTGAATGATCTGGATCCTGGATCTGGAATGATGAACAGGATTTGGATAAATAGATGAATGTGCATTCCAGGTAAGAGATACAATATGAATAAAAGCATAGAAGCAGGAATGAGCATGGCCAGGTTACTTGACAGTAAGGATTTGGACTTGCCAATAAAGGAGAATGAGTGGTAAGAATTAGTAAAAAAAAAAAAACCAATAATAATAATAAATAAGACTGGATGGGTTATGCGTGTGTGTGTGTGTGTGTGTGTGTGTACATGATAGGGGGCAGTTAGATGGCACAGTGAATAGAGTACTGATCTTGGAGTCAGGAAGACTCATCTTCCTGAGTTCTAATCCAGCCTCAGACACTTACTGTGTGACCCTGGACAAGTCACTTAACCCTGTTTGCCTCAGTTTCCTTATCTGTAAAATGACTGGAGAAGGAAATGGCAAACCACTCCAGAATCTCTGCAAGAAAACTTCGAAAGGGGTCACAAAGAGTTGGAATTGACTGAAATGACTAAACAATAACAGGATGTAGTATGAAGTGGGGGAAGGCATATCAAGATTGGTAAACTACAAATAGTCCAATTTGGTTTGCATATAGAATAACTGAAGAGGACAATCACAAAATAATGCTAAAAGGGAAGGCTAGAGCTACTCTGTGGAAGATTGTGGAAAACTAAATAAAGAATTTTTTTTTCAGTATAGGATGAGGAGTCGGGGCAGGCTTTTGAGCAGGGAAGCGATACAATCAGACCCATGCATTAGCAAGATTACTTTGGCAATAGTGTATAAGGTGAATCAGAGAAAGAAAAGACTTGAAAGCAAGAAAATCAGTTAGGAGGCTATTGTGATAGTCCAGGTGAAAGATAATGAAGCTTGAACTAATGTGGTGACAGCAAAATTGGAAAGGAGATGACCCAATTGGAGAGATAGTGTGGAGGTAGAATTGACAGTACTTGGCAACTGATTGGATGTAGGGAACGAGGGAAGAAAAGTAAGGAGTGACTGGATGGCAGAGTGGTTAGAGGCAGGTTTGGGGAGGAAGAAGCTGAATTCTGTTTAGGATCTGTTGAGTTTGAAATTTTGTTAAAACATCTCATATCTGTGGGAGATGTACCGACATCCACTATGATATCCCAACACTTGTCTCTGAGATATAAACTAGTATACTCTTGTTTCTTGGGCCAGAAAATACTCAATAGGCAAGGTCAGGGCCAGGACAGCCTACCCTAGATTCAATTCCTTTGAGTTGAACTGGAACCCTGATAAGATTCCTTCTCACACCTAATTTTCCAGGGAGCATTCCAATACTGATGACATTAGTCAATATTGGCTTTGGGGATGAAGACCAGGCTACATAATATCCCTTACAGTATAGTCTGGTTTATAGATTTGAGTTCTGTGGTTCTGTTGAATGAAAAGGACTGCAGCCTTAGAGTAAGGACATACTCCCACTTCATGATCAACATTCCTGGAGCCAAGATGGTGGAGTAAGAAGGTAGTTGCTCTCACCCTCCCCTATCAACCTCTGAAACCCCAGAAAATATCACCCCAGAAAAAACCATAATCAACATTCCTGAATATGCTATTTAGAACCTCTAAAGCAGCTTGAGAGAAGTGCTAAAATTGCCTGGGGAAAATCCTACCACATTTTTGTTACACCTATGGATGCAAAACCATTCTTAAACCCAACTTGAAAAACCCTGTGATGATACGGTGAGAAGAGTGTTGAATTTAGAGTCAGAAGAGCTGTGTGACTCAGGCAAGCTACTCTACCT